TATCATACATACTGTCCATTCATCATCTCATTGTGCGTTTGTATGCTTCATATTTTGCATATACTGATGGAGTTCTAAGTGGCTAAACTTTGGAGATAAAAAAAAGTAATTTTTTTTCCAACTTAAAGATGTCCCCCTCGTTTTCTCAGCCGCTTTCTCTGGTGGATACTTACAGCGCCGTCAGCAAACATTATTACAGTTTTCTTATTATTCTTCAGAATTCTTGAAAACTGTGTTTAGAACGTAAGCAAACCCAATCACCAAAATCTCATATCAACTTTCATATGTTACTCTGTAGACATGTAAGCTGCGGAAAAATTTGGTTTCAGTATGGATATTTCGTTATTTCGGGATCCGAGATTCAGATCCGAAATTCAATTTGGTTTGGCTTTCGCATCTGGACAAAATCCGAATTTTCGTTAGTTTCGGATGAGTTTCTGAATATTCGTTGCGAATACCACAGAAAACCATATACAGATATTGATACTAAAGCTGAATCTACTAGACCCGTATGGCATTCGGGATCTGAATTTCCAAATTGCATTGGGAAAGCTCCCGAATGCAGTTAAGAAATTGGGATCCCAAATACCATACGGTATGGATGTACCGATACCGTTATTTCGGTGTCGAGAGCGAGTACCAACATTTTTTTTCCGGTATTCACCGATACCGAATAACTATACCGGAAGTCCCATTAAGGAAGCCAGGCGGCGTGTAATGTCTCGCCACCCGGCTTCCCGATTAGCAGGGAAGCTGTCTCCATGCTCCCTCGTCACCAGGTGACGAGAAGGCTTGGAGCCGGCTTTCTGGCCAATCAGGAAGTCGGGCGCCGTGAAATGATGCATTGGCCGGCTTCCTGATTGGTCGAGAAGCTGGCCAGTCAGGAACCTGGGCAACGCGTCATTACACGGCACCTGGCTTCCTGATTGGCTGGGACGCTGCCTCCATGCCTTCTCGTTACCTGATGTCCCGTCATGAAGTCTGAAGGGGTTAAACAGACTGTGTGCATAATTGTAGAGCCGGCAGCCGGCTTTACAGTGGAAGTGAGTCTGGCGGCTCTTTCCCGGGATCCGCTGCCCCTTCTACGGGCCCGGGACCGATATCTCGGGTGTGGGTGGGAGGCTGGGGAGGAGAGCGGTGAATGTACACGTAGTGCATCACTTCCGGCCCCATAGCTGTCATTTCTGGGCTCCTGAAACCCAGCAATAAGCTACTGAAGTGCAATCTGCACTTCAATAACGTATTTAAAGTAGAAAGGTGATAGTAGGGCTCTTTTGGACCCCCTGTAGCACCTGAGGACCTGTCACCAACGATATGCTATCACATGGGGGGCTTGTAAGCCCTCCTATGTGATAGCAATTAAAGTAAATACAAAAAAAGTTTCAAAAATAATATTAAATAAAATAAATGTAAAAATAATAAAAACTTTCCCCCCGCCTCCGCGAGCATGCACGCCGTCACATAAACACGCGTTAGGTGTGCCTACGTACAAAAACGACGATTGCGCTACACATTAGATATGTGCGATTCGTTTCGTTCCGAATCGAAGTTCGTACGAATTTTTGGAAATTTGGACATTCGGATGTATCCGAATTCCAGATATAACGAATGCAAACAAATCCGAATTTCCGTTTCCGAAATTCGGTAGCGGTAGTTAGTTCGAACGTTCGTTTCATTTTCGTTTCTTATTCGTTTCGTTCGTTGAAGAAAAACATTTTTCCCCCTCGAATGGCACTTTGCTGCAAATGAACGAACGGATTAACGAAACGAATAAGAAACGAAAACGAAACGAATGTTCGAATGAACTACCGCTAACGAATTTCGTCCGAATCCGAATTCCGAATCCGAATTGGCTTTCACACCCGAATCGCGAAAAACGAAATAACACAAATCCAAATTTAAAACGAAACTAAACAAATTTTTTGGCAGTGCACATATCTACTACACATGCTGGGTATCGCCACACACGCCAGAGTGAGAGCAATAATTCTAGGGACAATATTTATGCGTATCTCTAAACTGATGACCTGTGGGGGCTTTTAAAAAGTCGTCTATGAACTTTTTGGGGTACTTTGTATTCTGTGGCAGTTTCACAAACACACACAATTTTTAACCTGGGCATGTTGGGTATCTATTTACATGTTCTTACTTCATCTTTTATATTGTATTAAAAAAATTGTTTTGGGGCACTAAATGTAACTTAAAGTGACATTAAACCCTCAGATTTTTTAACATAAAACAATACTGTAATGTGCGCCTTACTGTAATCCATGGTTGTTTCCCTTCTCTTTGCTGCTCTTCCTTTTAAATCTGTATCTCTTCTCATGCTGGGCAGAACTTCTGTTTTGCAGCAGACTGCCTTGTCTCTGGAATGGATACATGGTGTCTGTGTGTAGGTTCACACAGACACCAGAACTACAGGAAGTGGCACTCAGCTGCAAAGGGAAGTTCTCCCCCCAGCATGAGAAGACATGAGGATTTAAAAGGAAGAGCAGCAAAGAGAAGGGAAACAACCATGGATTACAGTAAGGCACACATTACAGTATTGGTTTATGTTAAAAAATTTGAAGGTTTAATGTCACTTTAAGTGCATTTTTCACTAAATATTTGGGTTTAATAAGTTGCGCTAATGTTGTGCAACATAAAAATTTTCATCTGACACCATTTTTTTCTGCAGGGTCTTGGCTTTCAGAAAATATATAATGTTTGGGGATTTTAAGTAATTCCAGGCCTAAAATGTGGATTTTAAAATGTAAAAAAAAAAAAGAAAAAAAAAAAGGCCTTTGTCCTTAAGGGGTTAAAATAAAAAACTGAGTTGCACACATCTCTCTCTCTCTCTTGTTATCTAATCCTGCTGACATATCTAAAAAATCTCGAAAAATGCAAAATGATTATAAACTATCCGGCATGCCAGCCAGCGCCTGCGAACGACCCCTCCCGTGGTGAACCTCCTTTGCCGTATTGAAATGGATTGAGCGCTTGCCATGTTCTCTGTTTGCTAATGCTGCCACATCAGGCTAATCATTATAGTATTAGTCACAAATAATAGAATAATTTCACTGCATGAGAGGAAGGACATTTGCATGCACTACATCAAAATGCAAAACAATAAACTTCAAACTATTATTTTATTTGGTGATCGAATTGCCACCGCAGAAATCAGTGCGGGTCATTTGCATTGAATTGATACACGTCTGCAAGAGCAAATAAAGATAGGTTTCACCTATGCAAAATCCAATCAGGAGACCTCGATGTCAACTCTGAAATGTTGGTCTTCTGTTTCAATGGAAATCAGATCGTTTACATGTCGCAGGTGCGTAACTTTACCCTGAAAAACAACTTCTGCTGTAATCAGTTGATTTTTCTCACCAGTGCGTGTGAAAGTCCTCACGAATCCAAACTGTGTCAGCGATTCTCCATAGACATAAGATGATTCTAAAGGTGCCCATACACCTGCCGATTATCGTACGATACACCTGCTGATTATCGGGTGATCCCGCGATCGTACGATAATCGGCAGGTGTATGGAAGGCGTGCGACTGTTTCTACTATACGGTCGCACGTCTTTTTTCTTTCGAGCACGCTTGAAAACCTGAGAACATAGGATTTTCGGCGGGTTAGTGGCATGCTCGGAAGACAAATGCTGAACGGGCCAGTGTGGTCAAGCGCACACTGCCTGCTCAGCATTGGAATCATCGCAAGCCCTCCCCTCAGCGGGGAGGGCTTGCGATGATAGCAAATACAATCTGCCTGTCCAAGATGGGCAGATCGTACAAGATTTGAATTACCTTACAACCATCGCACAACGAAAGTCGATGGTTGTAAGGTGTATGGGCATCTTTAGATGTTACGTATAAGGCCTCATTCACACCAGATGCAGTGCGCTCCGGCCCGATTCTGGCCAGAACACACTGCATCGCATTGTGGCCGGCTCACTATGTTGTGGGGCTGGAGGGGGCATGCCGGTCCATTAAAATGAGTGGCACCGTAGCCACGCCCTCCGGCTGCAATGCGATTGGCCGCGCGGGAATGCAAGGCACATAGTGCTTCCCGCATTTTGTTCGGACCGGACCGCAGGCATAATGTGCCTTGCGTTCCCGTGTGGCCGACCGCATTGCGGCCGGAGGGCGTGGCTACGGTACCATTCACTTCAATGGACTGTCACGCCCCCTCATGCCCCCACAACATACTTCTGCAAAAAGTTGGCAAATTACTCTAAATGACTTAAAGTGACATTAAAGTACATTTTTCCCCCTCCCCCCAATGTTAATGTCAGCACTTACCTTAAATGATGCCTCTTAATATGATCTTCTTTCCTGATTTCATCTGTCCCTCTAGCTGGCACTTTCCTGTCCCACAGTGTCTGCAAGGCGGGCGCACGTGTCCATAGACTTGCCTTGCGTCTCTCTTCGTCTCCCGGACGAAAATCCGAACTGTGCATGCGCCCGCCCCAAGATGCTTTGCGGCCGCCCGAGGCAGTTTCGGATTTTCGGACGGGAGCGCACGGTGAAGACGGGGTAAGTTTAAACCGCTGTTAAAGCTTTTTTTTTTCTAACTTTTTGCATATATCTACTGCTTGCTAGCCTTTATATATATATATATATATGCAAAAACACGGGAGGGTTTAGAAACCCTTTCAAGAAATTTTGCCAAAATGTTGAAACAAAAAAACTTAGTTTCACACATCAAAATGCATTAGAGTGAATTAGAAGCTCATGGTTCCTAGGTCTTTATATCTGTTTACACATTTTTGTTATCTGTTTGTAGTATGGAGAATGTAAGAGAGAAAAGACTAAACACACAAAACTCCCAATTGTACAGGAACAGAGTTGGGAATAATGGCAGAGTGATCTCTCTGATTGACATATAGGAAGCCAGGGGTGACTTAGTCCACCAGTCTACACCTATAGATACAATATGACTTTTGGCTCTAATGGTTCTTTAAACAAAACATACAGAAATATTTAGATAGAATTTGAAAGTTTGTCTTCACGTCTTACCTACTGTTGAACTTTTCTGGATGTTTTTCACGCATCATGTGAAATCTGTGAGCTATTGACGCATCCTATAGGATGAAGAAGAAAAAAAAGATACATCATTTCTATGATCATTTCCATGTTTTTCAATAGGAAGGCAGCATTTTCATGACATTTAACTACATAATGCTCATTTATATGCCTGCATTCTATCACATTGATTCTGTTGAATTGTGCAGACGGTTCAGCGGTGGGACAGTGGCCAATGACGTACCCGCAGACAGCATGGTGACATCATTATCCTCGCAACAGCCGTATTGATGTCACTATGTCATCATATCACACAAGGTGTTTTCCAGCGGACACTCAATGAGGTGCAAGATTTAAACTAAATAAAGCCAGGCTCCCTATGGATATCAAAGACATAAATGAATGCAGCTCTGTGTTCACTAATACATCATTTAATTTTTTTATTGAAAGGAGAACCATGAGGTGAATGATTTTGCGGGCAATAGCAATAGTTTTGGGTCGCGGGAGGAGGTTAGTATATGCCCTCCCGTGACCCTAAAGAGAAGAATGGGGAAAAACACTTACCCCATAGTTCTCTTTTAACTCAAGCAGTGTAGGTACCAGATATCAATTCAATCGAGCATCTGTGGGATGTGCTCGAAAAACAAGTCTGATCCATGGAGGCCGCACCTCACAACTTACAGGACTTAAAGGATCTGCTACTGACGGCTTGGTGCCAGATACCACAGCACACCTTCAGAATCTATGGCTTTATATATTGCGCAATGAAGGTTCTTTCTTCTTCTTTTATTCATCCCTAAAAAACTCTGCGTGATAAACGGCAAAGCATTTCTTATCAGAAAAGATTGGACTCCTCATCCTTGAGCTATAGCCAACGGCATAGAGGAGAAAATCAATTGTTTCAGCTGCCGGGACTCGCAGAGAACACGTCTGTGCTAAATCCTAATCACGGTATAACTTACTAAGAGCTTCTTACCTACTTCCTTTTGGTAAGTACCCACCCGAGAGGGGCAGTTCGGATCAACTTCAAGTACACTGCTATTTTTGCACATTTGTATATTTGCACACGGAATCCACCGCTCACCTGGATTTTTTTCTTATTGGACACTTTTTTGATGTTTTTAAATACTTTTTCGTCTATTTAATTCATTGGAATGGATTTTTTTTTTGTTATAATTGTCTAGTGCACCATGGTTAGAGTGTTTGTGTTCATTTGTAGTGAGTTCTGTTTCACACACTTTATTAGGTTTTAGACTGGCCTCGCCAGAAAACATATTGTTCACTTTTTGCACATATATTTATTTTTTTCGATCATACTAGGATTTATCCCTTTTCAGAGCAGCTTCGGGTTTTATTACATTGTTATTATATTTATTCACACATATTTTATTAATTCATTTATTCTAACTACCACCTCTCTCCAGAAGCGCAGATTTATCTGTTTACATCTAGTGGAGTCCATGCCTTGACGGGTCAGGGAAAGGGGGACCTACTCAATATTAGGGGGGTGGTCATAATTTTATGGCTGATCGGTGTGTATATATATATATATATATATATATATATATATATATATATATATATTATATTATACATCAAAGCTGCGCATAGACGATGAGCTCGCGTCCCAACATTTGTTCATTCAATCATAGCTACATCTGTATGAGCAACAAGTGCTATGTTCCCACATACATTAACCCTGAGCTCATTAAGCAGTCGATGACGCAAATGCACAACTTCAGACAATGGCGGAACACATGGAAGGCTTCGGGACGAGAGTGGCATCTTCTGCATTGTGCTTGTACAAAGCCGTAGCATTTGTGAAGCTATTGTTTTAAGTTCACCACCGGCGCTGTCTGTAAAGCAAATGCGCGCCCGTGAATGTGGCACCAAGGTTATTTTGTTTCTTACTGCACCATGTTTTTTTCCCTCTGTTCCTCAAGTTCTGCTGTCAGAATTGGGAATGTGGCCTATGGTGGTACTTACTGAAGCACTAAGAGCTGCTTTTGCGTAATGGGAGACCTTAGTAGGGTACAAGTGTTCCCTTGATGCCGCTCAAGACAGCACTTAAATTCACCTAACTCTGCCATGATCATAGGCTCCTCTCCCGTGACATCACGGTTCTTCTACTGCTGTACACAGAATCAACATAACAGGACGGTTTTCCCTTTGAGGAAGTACAAAAAATTATCATGCTCTACTGCTTAGAGGATGCTATCAAATGTAAGGTTCTCCACTGCCTTATGGGAAGAAAAGCACACCAATATCAGTGAGCCAACTGCAAGAAATGAGAACCATAAAACCTGCTGAACACTTTCTACCTCTCACAGGTACACACACCTTAAAACATTCTTCCATAAACATTCACATTCAGTCTACATGACCCTGATCTGCGCACACCAAGTGTAGGGCAAATCTGTGAAAGCTCTCTCATGTTGGCCTTAAGCACCCATGGGCCCCAAGGATAATGAACCAGGACATAACAAGGCTGTGTAATAATATTCATACATTCTTGCCTCTCATTCCTGGTAAATGGGAAAGTCCAAAAGAAGTCTCATACTTTTTTATTCGTCCGAAAATGTTGTGATTGTTAGTTTATTTGAAAATACTGCTTACTGCTCTTCCACTCCTACGCTCTGTGCTGGCAGAGCTGAGTAATAGCCGCACCCCTCACCATGGGTGTTGTAAGCATATGGCCGGCTGCACATGCGATACTGCACATGCGCATGGTCCTGTCTTCTGCATTTTCGGTAAACGCGCTAGTGCGCAGGTGCACGTACTGTACGTGCAAATACATGCTGACGGCCGGCGCACAGGATCTGCCGAGGTTCCCCTGAAAGATGGGCCTATATAAACCAGCTTGCCCTGCTTACAATTGCTGAACGTTCTTTCAGTCAGTATAATGTGCTTTGCTCCTGTTAGTCTGCTTGTTTGCTATCTCTTTGTGTTTGACCCGGATTGCCTTTGACTTCGCCTGATCGCTGTCTGCTCTTGACCTCTGCCTGTTCCTGGATTCGACCTCTATCTTCTGCCATTGTACTTCCCTGCCCGACCTGTGTGACCCATGGCTCATATGACCACGCTTCTGCTCTCGGTCTTGGCACCACGTTGACCGCCTGGCTTCACCTTGTACCTGTCTCACCTTCTACTGGATCTGCTCCTGGACTTGGCATGGTGTCTGCACACCTCTTGGCACACTTGCAACTCTTTGTATTCTCACTCCCTGTCTCCACTCCCAGGGGTGCGGGACAAGAGGGGCAAGGGGGACCTCCTCAGCTAATTCGGTCTTCTACCAGGTAGGTGTTGTTATTATTCTTCAACCGGTTGGAGTTTTCAAGACTTCCTACTCATGCACAGCGCACCTCAACCACCTCCCCCATCTTGATTTGCTTGAATGGAGCCACATTTCGAGGACTCTCAGTGAGGTGAGGATGTCTCAGGATGCCTCTGTACCCGGCTATACAAAACATTCTCACAATTTGCCTTAGAAGCAAATCAGATAGAACCTTCCTAATTTCCTGGTTGGAGGACATCCAGAATCATCTAGCACTTTCCTCCCCAGTCCCTGGCACATCCCTCTCATTCATTGTATTTCAGTTAATTCAATCATAGAGGCTCAGCATCACATGGAGGTGTTTCCTATGGTGGTCTTCATGTCTAGTCTTCCTAGGAACGTCCACTCCTCCTCTTCCCATTCATGACTTTTTGATATTGGCATGACTCCTCCCAACGGCCAGCCCACTGCTTGCATTAGGACTGAGATGTCTTGAAAGGAGTTCTGAGGCCGGGTGCTGTGATGTTTTCATATACAGCACCCTGTGCCGCCCTCCCACTAGCCACTGCACAGAGTCCTATGAGGATGTCTCTGGATT